TGCTGCACTCCAAATATGGGAACTGTATTCCAGGACGGGTCGGATCTGTGCCTTATAGATCATAAGCAGCTGACTGGAAGTGAAATAGCTCCTGGTCCGAAACAGAAAACCAAGTTTTTGGCCTGTTTCAGAATACTGTTTTACCATATGGGATTCAACACCCAAACATATGCTGATGTTCTTAGATTCAGGGTTGCGACGATTTAAATCAAATAATTCAAAACGTGATTTAAATCATGATTCAATACAACTGATTTTTTCAATTTTAATGGTGTTTTAAATCAAATTAAAAATTGCTGTGGAAACAAGTCGCCAAAGTAGATAACTTCAGGGGCGTCCGCGGGGGAGGCAAGGGGGGCGTCCGCGGGGGAGGCAAGGGGGGCGCCCCCCCCCTAGAGCCTGGTCTTTACTCATCAGATGCTTTCTAAACAAGATACGTTTGCATTATTCAATTCCTATTCTGATTAGCGCTTATTATAGTGACTTTCTGAGACTTTCTTCAATTAGTCTTCATCGACATCTTATAGATATATAAATAGTTAATTTTATCAACGAAGTTATTGATAAATTTGCTCAAGACTCTATGAGAATGCCATTTTTGTTTGAACAAGATTGTGATTATCATCACGTGCAATTTTTTATTGTAATTTTGGCTGTAAACAGAATACCTATGTGATGTAAATTCAATTAATTTCTTTTTTATTCCATGTTCTACGTAGAATAATAGTAGATTATATATCGAGAGTAAAGTGCATGATTTTTCCGGAGGTGGGTTTGTATCCAGAGGGTGCTACAATGCACTAAGGGAAGAAAGAACTCACTTCCGAGGTTTATATACCATTTTTGCACGACTCGAAGATTTTAATTGAAAGAATCTTATGATAAAATCAATTATTGTCAATATGATAATGTAAATCTGAACACAATAATCACAAAATGAAGTTTGATTATCATGACTAACGATAAAGAAAAGTAGCCATATTGCTTTTCGTGAACATCGAAAAAGTGTGGTAGCATAATTTCTTAATTGCTTTCCAAAGTTTTTTCAATAAATATTGCATAGTGGTAGATTTATTGCCAGAAAAATCCCGGAAATTTTTTTATCCTAGCGAGTGCCTACTCTGTATACCCTGTATTCCCGCTTTTGTCGGTGTAAATTCGCTTATAGCTCGTGCAAAAACAGTTTTTTTTTATATGTTCTGAATAATGTTCATTATTTATTGTGACTTGCCCCTCCCTGAGATTATTTCTGCGGACGCCCCTGGATAACTCATCAAAAATTTCAATAAAAGAACGTAAGAAAAAAAGAGACTTCAAAACTTCAAAAATCCAATATGGCGCCCATAAAAAGAGGCAAAGTTGTGAGTTATAGCTTTGGCATCAAGAAAGTCATGGAAAATACAATGACAGATTCAGATTCCTCGTGAAAAAGTGCCTCAAGAATGGCTCGGTCAGAAACGTCTAGGTTTTTTGGTTTCTGCTTGAGGAAATAAAATCGAAAATTATAAATTTTCGTTTTCTTCCAATGATTCAAAAACTAAAAATGACACATCAAATTTTCTTGCAGGTAAATGTTCAGCATGCGCAACTTTGTCCTAATTCAACCGACCTCGTATCTCTTATAATAACTGAGATCCTCATGGTGGAACTCGAAAAACGGACACCCTGTATATAAATACATACATGGATGTTAGTCGCCGATTTTGTGAAAATGAAAAATGCTCAGGTTATGCATTCTGTCGATCTGACTGAGGTGCTGATATATTTTCAGCAAGAATCCTTGTTTTTTTTTCCTCATTTAACCCGGCGCTTTTAGAGTGCCGCGCTTTAGTTTTTATTTGCACAGAAATCCTATATTCCTCACTAAATTTTACTTTAATTTTGTTATTCAATTACCTGGCGCTGAAATTACTTCCATGTTCGCAATGAGAAATATTGGATTTCTCTCGCGCCGCGAATATTGGTTTTGTGAAATCTTTTAGAGGACGTTTTTCTCACTATCTCTCCCTCTCTCTGACTGCCTCTCTCTCCCTTTATGTGCTTGCTCAAGTACCATTTTGAATGGAGTATGAATTTGATACTAAGAGAATTGTCGTCCACAATCAATGCATCAAGCCATACAACATTTCAGAGATGAGTATACAGTTTGTCTCTGGTACTGTTCAAATACTTGAGAAATTCAAAGTGACATTTCATAACACTTTACTGACAAGTTCTCAGTATAAAAGTTCAATCTTCTCACAAAAGCTGAATCATTTTATGCTAGATTATTAGATATCATAAACAATATTGTTCTCCAAATGACATTAAAAGTCACTTTTCAATGACAGTCAACAGGCAGAAAAGGTGTACTTTTACTGCCTGGGCAGAAAAAGTTTGTTGCTAAGCAATGTTCTGAGTAATTTAAATAAAATTGGTGATCAAAATTGACAATGACTTTGGGTGAATAAAAAATGATGAATTATTTGAACTTTGCGTGAAATTGAAAAGAATTTGAAGAAAAAATTATATGTTTCACATGGCAGAAAAGAAGATGTAATGCCTTGGCTGGTTTCCTAGCCTCGGCTACGCCTAGGCTATGAAACGCTAACTGTGGCATTAAATCATGTACTTTTCTGCCTAGTAAAACAAATGACTATTTTGTAACAATGTTTTTTTTTAGAGGAAAATATTGTGACATCAAAAAGTTCAATCTTCTCACAAAAGCTGAATCATTTTATGCTGAATTATTCGAATTATTTGATGTCATAGACAAGATTTTTGTAATATTGTGTTTTTTTTTAGAGGAAAATATTGTGACATCAAAAATATGAATTATCATTAAATAATGAAGGAAGAATGAAAATTTCAGCTTTCCCTTGAAATTCCCGATTTTGATTGTTGATATTATTCAGATAAGCAGAAATTTTCAACACATTTTTTTGTTTTTTTTTATAGATATAAATAGTGGAAGATTTGCTTTGAATATTATGGTATAAGAGGAAGATTACTACTTACAAATACTATCATGATGAAAAAAGCAGCAAAATAAGAAGTTCTTGCCATCCACATGTTAACAAAACGGTAATGTTCTCCAGATACCACATTCCTAAAAGTAAAAAAAAAAGTAGCTACAATTATTTTGAAATATTCATGTAGGTGAATATTTTCATTTTGAAATTTTATATTCAAGGAAACTCACAAGAACAATTTATAAGAATCTAAGAATATAGCAGACCTCCCAAACGTTGTTTTGCTTTATACATTATTTCTATAATATATTTTTTCAGTTCAATATTACTATTGACACTATTATTATTTTAATCTTTACTTCTTTTTAATTCTATCTATCTATAAAAGCGTGTTGTTTTAGTTTTTCAAACTTCAACTTCTTTTTAGCTCACTTGAATTTCCCAATTTTGACGAAAGAATCATAATATCCAACTCCTCAAACCCCAGATGAAAATTTTGAAAAGAATCGAAACATAATCACAAAACTCGTCCGCAATATTGGATCTACCATCTTGAATTCCTTAATTTTGACGAAGGAATCATAATTTTCGATCCAAAAAACGCCCACTCAGAAATTTTAAATAGAATCGGTATATAATTACAAACCACGTCCGGAATATTGGTTCCATTGTCTTGAATTTCCAAATCCCGCTCTTTCCAAATTTTGACAAAAGAATCATAATCTCCGACCCCGAAAAAATCCAAATAACAATTTTGAAGAGAGTCGGATCATAATTACAATACACGTCCGCCATATTGGGTCCGCCATCTTGAATTTCCTAATTTTGACAAAAGAATCATAATCTTTGACCCCGAGAACCACCAAATACCAAATTTGAATAAAATCGGATCCCAATTACAAAATCCGCCATTTTGGATCCGCCATCTTGAATTTCCTAATGTTGATGAAGGAATCATAATCCCCGATCACGAAAACCCTTAGGTACCAATTTTGAAAAGAATCGGATTACAATTATTACAAAACTCGTCCACCATGTTGGTTCCGCCATCTTGAATTTCGAAATTTCGCCCAAATTTTCAAATTCTGACAAAAGAATCATAATCTCCGACCCCGAAAGCCCCAGATACCAATTTTGAATAGAATCGGGCCATAATTACAAAACTCGTCCGATATATTAGATCCGCCATCTTGAATTTCCGAATGGTACCGGAATAAAAGGTATCCTATAACCTTCTCCTGGTTCTAAGCTACCTCCCCACCAATTTTCAGCCAAATCGATCCAGTTGTTTGGGAGCCTATTCAATTCATATAAACAAACAAACAAATCTTTCCTTTTTATAATATTACCTAGTATAGATTAGTATAGATCACAACTTTTTCATAGTACATTTTTCAACATTTTTGCATTTTTCTTCAAATATTATTTTTCCAATAAGAATTCACGGGATAATCTGACATACCAAAATTCCCAAATCTGAGTCTGATGAAAATGGATATTTTTCCAACAACCTTTTGAAAGTCTCAAGAAATTTCTTCTTCTTCTTATTAATATTATACAATTCAAGTATTTTACTTGAGGAAGTTACTGTTTCAGCATAATATGTCATGTCAAAAGTCAGTTCTCAGATGAAACTGATAAAAGTTCAGTGGCCAAGACTACATGGTAGACAAGGAAAGAAGAAAGAATCATAACACCCCTCTATATTTTCATGACTTAGTGATACTCATTCATTCTGTACTAACTGAAATATCTCAGTAGAACTAAACTCAATATGATTGTTTTCTTTTGAAATACTTTGATTAGATATTAGTGATGATAAAGATAGAAGAGGAAAGAAGTGTTCTTCCTCTGGCTCAAGATAGTAAAGAGCTCAATATTTTTTCTCTTTCTGCCATGGATTAATTATTCATATTGAAGGAAAAACATTATCTCATTGATTTCTCATGATAATTTTCCAATTTGGCCTTGATAAATGTGAGGATTTCAAATGTTCAGTGTGTGTAAATTCCACATTTTACATTGGCAATGCTGCAAACAATAAAAAAATCACCTGAGATACCCCTTGTTCTCCTCTTTTTCAGCCAAAGTCTTGATGGATGCAAGCAACAAGTCATCATAACCTAAAAATTCATCCAGCACCAGACGACTGAAAGCATCACCAAAACAGGCATCTTTAGCTGGATCTAGAGTCACAATCTCAACAGGAATCTTTAGTCTAGCCCTAGTTGCTGGACTGAGCCTCAGAAAACCATACTCAAGGGAAAACTCAATGATATATTCATCATCAGGGAAAGCTTGAAAAAAATATGAAAAATTGACATTTTATTTGTTTCCTGAGAGATATTCCACAGCACACTCACTTCTCATTTTATTGATATCTTGAATTTCCTCCTTTATTTCTTCAACTCCCACCTTCTGAGTCACATTTGCATCATTTTCAGTCCTGTCAATGATGTGTTCAGGCATTGATGAACGCTCATTAAGTCCCAAAGGATATTCTGTCAGCATCTCATAATCTTTCCAAATAGTAGGAGATATCTTGGAGACATTAACTAATGCATCTGCAATGATTTTTTCATCAACTGGAGCAAATAAACTTGAGGTACTGTTGGTATAGTCTAAAAAAAAGAAATATAACAATAAACACATTCAGATTCCAAGGAAAACTGTCTTCCATACCTGATTTGAGTGGCTCTGTTTCTTTGTTGATATCTTCCACAGCTGTTGGCTCAATGTTGATGAAACTATCTCTAGCTAGTAACCCTATGACATGTACAAAATCCTCAACCTTCCCCTGCTGCTTGAGTTTTTCCTCCTTGGCATAGCTTTGTTCAATGTTATAATCCTTCCCAGCATTTCTGATGATCTCTACTCTCAAGATTCCATCTCTAGGCCAGGAATCTTTGATATGCATCAAACATGAGGATGGTGTTCTTGAAAATGCAATGTGTATATACACCAGCACAAAAAATGCAGTTAATGCTTTAATAAGTATAATGAACTCTATGAATCTTCTCAAAGGTCTAGGAAATGTTCTTGCATATGCCAATGCTGCTCTGTAGAACAAGGTATGGAACAATCTGTCTCTGAAGTTGACCAGAGGGCTTCGGTTATTGTTGTTTAGTAATCGGTTAGCATTGACAAACGGTCCTCCTGCATGGTTATTTTCTGGAGGTGCAGGTGCAGGTTCAATTGCCTGTGGTCCATTTCTTGACATTTTGATTTGGTTTTGCTTCTATTTCTGATGAAATTCATGACCATATCACACTGAAAATATGGAGAATGACTGTAATTTTTGTTCAACGTAGAAATGTTCAGAAGAGAAAATTACAAATCTCTTTACAATCAAATGTTTCCCAACATCTGGATTGGTATCAAAATATTCTAATACCTTTTGATTATCATTTCAATTCCTCTCTATGATAGTGCAAGGATCATTTTTTTCCAATATTATCGTTTGATTTTAATTTATTCAAGTATAGTTTAGAAATCGTATGATTTCGGATGAATCAAAGTTTCTCAATATGAAAATAATAAATATTTGACAAAATGTCATGATGTCATGCAACATGCAAGAAATTATTGAAATTAATGACGTGATGACAAGTGATACTTTATTGACAGTAGTGTCACCTATTGAAGTGCCATAGAACCTCAGATAGATTCTTAGTTCTGTGCAGGTTCCTGTGATGAAAATTAAGGAGGGACAAATTTTTGAAAATCAGTGGTATTTCTGAACAAAAATTTGGAGTTCGAATAAGATCGATTGTTATAGGATTAATACTAAATTTGTTTTTTTTATCTTGGGCCCTTTCCACCATATATTTATTAAAATATCTTCCGTATATAGGAAGGATTTTTATTTTGTTTCATTGATTTTTTTCATGTTGAGTCTTGTAATAAAGGTGGATAGATATATTGTAATATAGCCTTTTTAACTATTATGTATGTCAGGCTCATTAAATATTCAGAAATAAATAAGACACTGGGATAATTGATTCAACATAATTATATTTGATGATTCCACCATACACACATCGCATCCACATCCAATCTTTGTTACACTCAGTTTCAGTTATACACAAGAAGAATTTCAATTTCTAACCCATTGAAATATGAACAACAAAACAGTTTTTGACTGTTTCATGTTGATGGGTACTGTATTATCTATAAGAGGTTGTGCCGATTTACCTGAAATGACCAGACCATCAGTTCTACAGGGAAATGATCTTGTGACGGTAATCAATATATTCTTGGTTATAGAAGAAATCAGTATTCACGAAGAAGAATTAGTAAGTTCTCATCTGGCAGATATTTGATACATTTTTTTAGATCGTTTGGATCGCATTATTAATTTAATTACAACTTTTTTGGAACAAGAATGATTTTTGGTTAATTTTTTTATTTATTTGTTGTACAATATGATATTTTTTCAAGATTATCGAAATAGATGGTATTCTATCACAAATGTGGTTAGATCCCAGACTTGGTGCCAACGAACGTACCAAGAAAATGGCAGTTACTGGTAAAATTTGGGAACCGAAAATAACCAACATCAATGGGGAAAATGTAATGGAGAAAAATGACGACACGATATTTTGGCGTGGTTTTGGTGATGAAGGAAACATTTTACTTTCCAAAAAAATCAGAATAAGAACATATTGTTCGAGAGATTTCCAGAATTTTCCGTTCGATATACAGCACTGTGATTTCAAATTTGGATCTTGTAAGTTATATTGATGTTAGGAAAGATCTGACAAAGATTTTCAACATTTTACTTACATGAATTCCACCTTTCTGAATGAATTTTTGTTGCAAATAATGCGTGCCCACAAAAAACTTAAACATTTTCATTTTTTGTTTTCGGAGGAACAGGAAGTTTTCCGTCGACATTTTCTTCTTCTCACTACTCAGTTCAAAATTATATTCATTCAATATATTGTGACAGTTGGCACAAGCAGCAAGAGTTCTTGATCATTGATACCAACATGAAGATATGAAAGATACTACTGATAGCTTTTCAAAATGGCAGTTTAAAACGTTCAAAAAATAAAACTAGAATGTCGTAGAATTCAGGCGAATAGCGACTATTATTGTGAGGTGAATTGTTATTCATTCATTCAAATATCATTTATAAAACGGTGTGTTTGTATAATTTTCGTTTTTGGAATCCATATTATTCTGATGGTGTAGTAGAGATAGCTGAAAATGGAACAATACATAATTTGCAGCAGAAATTAGTAGAAAAATGGTTTTCAATTGCTGTTCATCAGTGACCCCTAAATACTGTAAGTACCAAAATCGTCCTCTATTTTCAGATAGATTTCCTAGTGATGAAATTCCATTACTTTGGGATGAAGCTCAAGTGAAAATTCCTGATAAAATAAGAACTACAGAATTCATGCTATTGAATGTTACAAAAGATATAGACATAGAAGTAAGACCATCAGGTAATTATTCATATTCAAATTGAATCCATGCCCTATGGCTTTCAAATGATCAATTTTATAGGTAACTTCAGCATAGCAACAGTAAAATTCATCATAAAAAGAAACTCTATCCACTACATTCTCTGTACTGGAATTCCCTGCATTGTAATGCTCATACTAGGCTATATTTCTCGTTGGATGGATATTGACAGAAGATGGAATATAAATCTGTTTTCTTTCAGCATTTCTTTATACTTGTATGTCACTTCCTTGTGCACTATTCAACCAGTACCATATTTCAAAGCCCTAGACATTTTTGTAGGACTGTGTACATTTTTCTCTTTCATTTCTCTGCTGGAAACGTTCCTGGTAGATTGTATATCAAAATTGGGAAAGAAATATCTGAATCCAAGGAGTAATGCTAATTATCAGACACAAGCCAATAGAATATACTGCTTGGAACTAGGTATGAAGATTGCTTTTCCAGTATTCTGTTTACTTTTTGTATTGTTTTTTGGATTCATTTACATAATGTAGGGGGTCCTAGAATGTCAATATATCTATTTGTAATTTGGCTAGGTAATTATTGTTGGTTTAATTCTTATAAAATATGTATAACAAAATACCTAATGAATCACATACCTCAACCTTATCCATAAAAACACAATGGTAACTTCACAACCCTACTAAAATACATCACAATACAAATTTTCTTATGAAGGTGATAGTTTTCTTGAAGGTTCCCAAAGAACCAGTAGTCCAGCAATTGAAGAAATAGTACCAAGTAGCCCTATAGTAGATGGAGACAACTTCACATGTCCAAGTGCATTCAATGGAATGAAAAAATCACAGCAATTCTTGATGGTATCAATAACTACCCTTTCATTGGATTGTAAACTTGCAGAAGCTCTTGCTAATAGTCTCAAAACATCACTGAAGTTCTTTATTCTATTATCCAATAATATATTGCTCTGCTGGCTCTTCAATAACATGGAAATTTCATAGAAATCTCTGACTAAATTCATTGTTATAGAGTACAGCCAGTATTTGTTAGAAATTTGTCCCCATTTAGCAGTATCAACTGCACAAATATCAGCTCGTCCTAACCATAGTATATGATCTGCTAGCAAAAACATTGAATTTGCTATCTTGCTGAGAATAACAGTGAATCTAACAGGTAACTCTTCATGAGCAAAAAGTGGTAAAGTTGCATACAAGCTTTCAGCAAATCTACCAAATCGAAGAACTGAAATGAAAAGTTGTTAGGGATCATTCAGATCATTGCCTCTTTGCCTCAAATGGGGAATACATTACGTTTTCGGAAGGTGCTGAGTTGAAACTCCAAGTTCTTGAGTCCCACAACTCCATCTTTGTTGGTCTGTTGAAGTCTATGCCATAAAAATCTACTCAGGTACTGCAGAAGTCTGAAAAAAGTGAAGTAGGTATAGTACCTACAGTAGGGAATGGTGATAATAATTTCCAAACATACCTAGCAATTTTGTCTCTTCCAGCTGTTTGATTATTGATTTTTATTAAATTCTCCATGCTTTTGCAAATCTAAGTACAGTTTAATATGATTCATATCAATGAGTTTTTATCTGTAGTCCTTGTTCTTTGATAGGTACCAAAGATTAATTATTTGTATTTATTCAACTCTCGTTTGACAGTTTTGGCAAGACACGACATAAACAAAAAACATAACCTCAACCAAATGAAACCTCAACCAGTGTTGCCAACTTAGTGGATTTCCCACTAGAACTGCCGTTTTGAGTTCTCGTTTTGTGATAAGGAATCTTGTGGATGGTGTTTATTTTGGTGAAATTGAAAATGAAGTTGAAACCACCAGAAAATCACTACATTAAAAAATCGCCTGCGGTGCATTCTTTTTTCAATTTCACCAGGTTTAGTGGTATTTTGGAGTATTATGCGACATTTGTGAATCTGAATTGGCAACACTGACCTCAACTATGAACTCTAGGCTCAACTGAACTGGCAATGTAGAGCAATACTGATAAAGCTGTAAGGTGAGTAAATGAGTGGGTTGGTAAATAGACATAATTGATTATATAATTATCTGTGTTGTTTTTGCGGCCCCATTGCTTATTTCCCAATTACCCAAATACCCAGAGAAATTGGGTGCAGTGGTCAAAACATGTGACAGCAGGAAAGTATTCTTCTTCTTATTTTGTGTTTCTTGGTTTTCTGACTCCGTAGGGTGCCAGTTTCACCAGATCCGGTAAGGAAACAGGAAAGTCAAGGGACTGGAAAGAATGGAACACTAGAAATGCAAAATAGCTGTCCGAATTTGAATAGAATTGTGCTATGGATAACTTCAATGATGAAGATTCCTCAAGTGATGAAATAGACGTGAAACCAATCTTCTTTACTAGTCCTAGTCAGACGATCTCATTCGGTTTGTCTCCAAGCTTATCCAGCAGTTCTAAAAAGTGGTCGCCCTGTTCATTACATGATGCCAACCGGAAGAGCGCTTTCCTGCCATACAAACAACACAGCTTGACGTGCAACACTGTACTTACCAACCTGCAAAGAGGAAATACCCAAGCAGAAACCCCGATACCTCAACCTGCCGAGGTGAATTTTCACATGAAGGCGGGACAAGGTGAATTGTACGAGAGAGACATTGAAAACGAGGAAAATGTGGATTTGAAGGACAACAATGATTTGACAGCTCTGCACTGGGCATGCGCGTACGGCCAGTTCAATACGGTACAGTTATTGGTGGCTCATGGTGCTGATGTGAACGAATTGGGACCAGAGGAGGAATCGCCATTGATTTTGGCTGCTAGCGGTGGCCACCATGATGTCGTTAAGCTACTTATCAACCATGGGGCAGTTGTGAACCATGTGGATCACGTAATTCTTTTATAGAAATGGTTGTATTCATATTCTTTGGGCTATCATTGTAGCCACCATGTTTCAGTTGGCTGTACTGATTATGACATTGTTGACACTGTTGACAGTCAGTTATCAGTATGACCATCTGCAGCAAGGTGTCCAACATGAGGTTGTGAAAAAATAATGTACCTAAAGAATTCGAATTTAGCCGGTACAGCCCATTCAGGCTTGATGAAAGTTACTTTTCAGATGTGCAATACATCTTTGATGTATGCTGCTAGAGGTAATCATCCACATACTTGCCAAGAGTTATTATCTCATGGTGCAGATTATTCACTTTCAAATTTGAATGATGATAGTGCCCATCAACTTGCTATAGAAAACAACAGCACACTAGGTAAATGAGATTAATTTTTCCTCGAATCTTCATAAGAAAATAATTTGGTTATAATTTTTCTGCTACCCATTCGAATATGTTTCAATTAAATTTCGGATTTTTTCTTCTGAAGCTGATGATGGCAGGAGTTGACATTTCACAAAAAATCCCTACCTAAGGCATTTTTTGGCGAGATCCCGTTGATTTGCCGGGAACTGATATTCAGTTCCCGTTGCATTTTCGCGTCATGACGGTAATAGGGGAGTATGATAATGACGTCACCAGTGACGTCACAATTTATAAAACGGGAACTGTTTTTAGTTCTGTGAACATGGTTACTGGCGGCAGAGATAAGTTATAGTATTTGACAAGTGACATTGTATCATTATTTTCAAAGTATTATATTATTATTAGAAGTAAACATATTTATAATTATTCAAACTATTTTTGAGATACCTACTATACTCACTTGACAGTACTGTTGGGAACATTTTGAGATGATACTTGTTGAGCCACCGGAGCGGCCGGAGCCAACGATCATGCATACAAAATGCAACTGTCCATTTATTATGATCGAAAACAAAATCCCCAGCGGACAGAGATCTGAACGTTTTACCGGTTCATTTTCGTGAGAAATTATTTTTTGGTGGGAGTATAACCGCTCTATTACCGGTGGCTGATCAACAGGAACTCGCGAAAAAATACCGCTTAACATTTAGCATGTCATAGGTATGCTCATGTCACTGACTCAAAAAGTTTAAAATCAGTTTCAAAATGTGGGTTCTATAATGGTATTATAGATCCGGTCTGAAGTGGGTAACAATCTATATATCCTCGTTCTTTTTTCAGCTCAAGCAGTGATAGAGAACTTCATCTGCTCAAAATTGGAGGAATCATCTAGTGACTTGATAACATCAAAACTCAATTCACCAAAAATGGATGATGATTATGCCTAGCTTGCCTCCTATAGCTGTATTTTTATAATCTTATTGACTATAAATGAATTATCTTTATTGGATATACCATATACACAGAGTATTATAACATAATCTGTTCATTAGAAGTTTTCAATAAAAGTTGATATAACAATCACACGCGCACGACACTTCTGGTTAAAGCGGAAGTGGACACAATATAAATGAAACATCCTGTATTTTGTCGCATTTTTATTCTATCATTTGTAGGCTTTTGAAAGGCCCAAAACATGAAGTGGCGCAGTCGGTAGGATACTGAACGGGCATTCATGGTGAAAATCCCGTCAGTGGAAAACCCTGAAGCCTTCAAGTCATTTTGTCGCGGATCAACTTCTACTGCGGACTGATTTTATATATGTGATAAACCCTCTGTATACACCTGCTATACTTATTTCTATCAGAGGGGGGATTAATAATCTTCAACTGAAATTGTTGCTAAATCCTGTGTGGATCATATAAATATCGTTAATCAATAGGAAATTGAGGAAAAAGCTATATCGACATATAATAATTTCAGTTATTGCTTTTTTATGGTGACTTTATTATGGAATAAAAGTTTATGGTTTTTTGTTTCATTCTGTAATCGATTGTTACCTATATAGGAAGCCGATTGGCATGATCCATTCATTTCCTCATAAAAAAGTTGAAACGTTAAACATTTTTACTTTTTCATTCAAATTCAATTGAGAATCTTCATGGGCTTAATATGTCGGTAATTACTGATCGTGTTGGTATTCTCCAGAGAATAGAATGGGTGTTGAATACCATCTTCCATCAGTTGGTAACAATCTACTGCTTTTTCCATTTCTGGTTGATATTTTCTAGTTTCACATTGGATCATTCAAGACTGTGGCATATTTTCCTCAGTACAGTTGCGGTAAGTTCATGTGCCTTATTTTTCTCATTGTATAAAATATTATTCTCGCGAAATATTTTTTTTTTTTTTCAGTATTTTCCCCTGATGGCTGAGAGTCTCATTCTCTATTTCGAATCGAATGTTTGGAGCCAAAAACTTGATAGGAAGAAAAAATTTTATGTTCATGGTACCATACTGTTGATTAGTACTGTATCATTAACTGCCGGTATATCATTCGAAATAAATGCCAAAAATCTAAGTGGAAAGGAACATTTTCAAAGCGGTCATGCCATTACTGGTAAGTGAATGTCGGCGCCGTTAGATTTAAATTATCCTTATTGAAAAGAAACTGTATCTCTTGCTATTTTCACTATTTTGAGTTAAGGTATGATTTACCATATGTTTAGTCTAGGATAGAAAAGATCGCACTTAATACTTCGAGAAATATTAAGTAAGAATATTAAGTTAAGTTTTTAATGTACAAAAAACGTCAAAACAGCAGTGTCAAGTACATTTAGGAACTCTAGTGGCGAGGAAGAGAAAAGATTAGTGAAGCAGTAATTAACGGATAACGGAAAGGCAGATTATGAATACCGGCCTCGGATTACTTGTTCTTTTCTCAACTCAATTTTGAATACGCTTCCTATCAAAGTAGCTTGTACGCTTGTAGTGATTGGTGTAAGTATCTTGTTCATTAGTTGTCATTCGATAGATACAACTATATTAAGCTGTTTGTCCCAGAAATTCCAAAAAATTAAAAGACACTAGGTCAGGCCCATAAAGAAAGAATTTGATGTCAGATTTAGTGCAAAACCCTCTATTCAGATTTTCAAAGTTTGGGGTTCACGCAATGCAGTAGGCTCATACAGGTAGAAAAATATTTTTTTCCTGTTTGTCCCAGAAATTACAAAAAATGAAAAGACACTAGTTCAGACCCATAAAGAAAGAATTCGATGTCAGATTTAGTGCAAAACCCTCCATTTAGATTTTCAAAATTAGCGGTGGTTCACGCAATGCAGTAGGCTCATGAAGGTAGAAAAATATTTTTTTCCTGTTTGTCCCAGAAATTAAAAAAAAAAAACACTAGTTCAGACCCATAAAGGAAGAATTTGATGTCAGATTAAGTGCAAAACCCTCCTTTCAGATTTTCAAAATTAGCGGTTCACGCAATGCAGTAGGCTCATACAGGTGGAAAAATATTTTTTTTCCTGTTTGTCCCAGAAATTTCAAAAAATGAAAAGATACTAGTTCAGACCCATAAAGAAAGAATTTGATATCAGATTTAGTACAAAACCCTCTATTCAGGTTTTCAAAGTTTGGGGTTCACGCAAGCAGTAGGCTGATACAGGTGGAAAAATATTTTTTTCCTGTTTGTCCCAGAAATTCCAAAAAATTAAAAGATACTAGTTCAGACCCATAAAGAAAGAATTTGATGTCAGATTTAGTGCAAAACCCTTCATTTAGATTTTCAAAATTAGCGGTTCACGCAATGCAGTAGGCTCATACAGGTGGAAAAATATTTTTTTCCTGTTGGTCTCAGAAATTCCAAAAAATGATAAGACACTAGTTCAGACCCATAAAGAAAGAATTTGATGTCAGATTTAGTGCAAAACCCTCCATTTAGATTTTCAAAATTAGCGGTTCACACAATGCAGTAGGCTCATAGAGGTGGAAAAATATTTTTTTCCTGTTTGTCCCAGAAATTCCAAAAAATGATAAGACACTAGTTCAGACCCATAAAGAAAGAATTTGATGTCAGATTTAGTGCAAAACCATCCATTTAGATTTTCAAAATTAGCGGTTCACACAATGCAGTAGGCTCATAGAGGTGGAAAAATATTTTTTTCCTGTTTGTCCCAGAAATTCCAAAAAATGAATAGAAACTAGTTCAGACCCATAAAGAAAGAATTTGATGTCAGATTCAGTGCAAAACCCTCCATTTAGATTTTCAAAATTAGCGGTTCACGCAATGCAGTAGGCTCATACAGGTGGAAAAATATTTTTTTCCTGTTGGTCTCAGAAATTCCAAAAAATGATAAGACACTAGTTCAGACCCATAAAGAAAGAATTTGATGTCAGATTTAGTGCAAAACCCTCCATTTAGATTTTCAAAATTAGCGGTTCACACAATGCAGTAGGCTCATAGAGGTGGAAAAATATTTTTTTCCTGTTTGTCCCAGAAATTCCAAAAAATGATAAGACACTAGTTCAGACCCATAAAGAAAGAATTTGATGTCAGATTTAGTGCAAAACCATCCATTTAGATTTTCAAAATTAGCGGTTCACACAACGCAGTAGGCTCATAGAGGTGGAAAAATATTTTTTTCCTGTTTGTCCCAGAAATTCCAAAAAATGAATAGAAACTAGTTCAGACCCATAAAGAAAGAATTTGATGTCAGATTCAGTGCAAAACCCTCCATTTAGATTTTCAAAATTAGCGGTTCACGCAATGCAGTAGGCTCATACAGGTGGAAAAATATTTTTTTTCCTGTTTGTCCCAGAAATTTCAAAAAATGAAAAGATACTAGTTCAGACCCATAAAGAAAGAATTTGATGTCAGATTTAGTGCAAAACCCTCCATTCAGATTTTCAAAATTAGCGGTTCACGCAATGCAGTAGGCTCATAGAGGTGGAAAAATATTTTTTTCCTGTTTGTCCCAGAAATTCCAAAAAATGATAAGACACTAGTTCAGACCCATAAAGAAAGAATTTGATGTCAGATTTAGTGCAAAACCATCCATTTAGATTTTCAAAATTAGCGGTTCACACAACGCAGTAGGCTCATAGAGGTGGAAAAATATTTTTTTCCTGTTTGTCCCAGAAATTCCAAAAAATGAATAGAAACTAGTTCAGACCCATAAAGGAAGAATTTGATGTCAAGTTCAGTGCAAAACCCTCCATTTAGATTTTCAAAATTAGCGGTTCACGCAATGCAGTAGGCTCATACAGGTGGAAAAATATTTTTTTTCCTGTTTGTCCCAGAAATTTCAAAAAATGAAAAGATACTAGTTCAGACCCATAAAGAAAGAATTTGATGTCAGATTTAGTGCAAAACGTTCCATTCAGATTTTCAAAATTAGCGGTTCACGCAATGCAGTAGGCTCATACAGGTGGAAAAATATTTTTTTCCTGTTGGTCTCAGAAATTCCAAAAAATGATAAGACACTAGTTCAGACCCATAAAGAAAGAATTTGATGTCAGATTTAGTGCAAAACCCTCCATTTAGATTTTCAAAATTAGCGGTTCACACAATGCAGTAGGCTCATAGAGGTGGAAAAATATTTTTTGCCTGTTTGTCCCAGAAATTCCAAAAAATGATAAGACACTATATAGTTCAGACCCATAAAGAAAGAATTTGATGTCAGATTTAGTGCAAAACCATCCATTTAGATTTTCAAAATTAGCGGTTCACACAACGCAGTAGGCTCATAGAGGTGGAAAAATATTTTTTTCCTGTTTGTCCCAGAAATTCCAAAAAATGAATAGAAACTAGTTCAGACCCATAAAGAAAGAATTTGATGTCAGATTCAGTGCAAAACCCTCCATTTAGATTTTCAAAATTAGCGGTTCACGCAATGCAGTAGGCTCATACAGGTGGAAAAATATTTTTTTTCCTGTTTGTCCCAGAAATTTCAAGAAATGAAAAGATACTAGTTCAGACCCATAAAGAAAGAATTTGATGTCAGATTTAGTGCAAAACCCTCCATTCAGATTTTCAAAATTAGCGGTTCACGCAATGCAGTAGGCTCATACAGGTGGAAAAATATTTTTTTCCTGTTGGTCTCAGAAATTCCAAAAAATGATAAGACACTAGTTCAGACCCATAAAGAAAGAATTTGATGTCAGATTTAGTGCAAAACCCTCCATTCAGATTTTCAAAATTAGCGGTTCACACAATGCAGTAGGCTCATAGAGGTGGAAAAATATTTTTTTCCTGTTTGTCCCAGAAATTCCAAAAAATGATAAGACACTAGTTCAGACCCATAAAGAAAGAATTTGATGTCAGATTTAGTGCAAAACCATCTATTTAGATTTTCAAAATTAGCGGTTCACACAATGCAGTAGGCTCATACAGGTGGAAAAATATTTTTTTCCTGTTTGTCCCAGAAATTCCAAAAAATGAAAAGATACTAGTTCAGACCCATAAAGAAAGAATTTGATGTCAGATTTAGTGCAAAACCCTCCATTCAGATTTTCAAAATTTGGGGTTCACGCAATGCAGTAGGCTCATAGAGGTGGAAAAATATTTTTTTCCTGTTTGTCCCAGAAATTCCAAAAAATGATAAGACACTAGTTCAGACCCATAAAGAAAGAATTTGATGTCAGATTTAGTGCAAAACCATCTATTTAGATTTTCAAAATTAGCGGTTCACACAATGCAGTAGGCTCATACAGGGAAAAATATTTTTTCCTGTTTGTCCCAGAAATTCCAAAAAATGAAAAGATAGTAAGTAAGTAAGTAAGTAAGTACATTTATTTCCAATATACACAGAACAGGTGTACATTTAGCCATTGGCATAAGGAAAGATTAGTGTCATTTAACAAAATTATTTGATAATGAAAAAAGTCTAAGCTCTATACATTTGAAAACTGCAGCATGATTGCTACTACTGCTGAATATTGTTTTTTTTTTTTTTTTTTTAACATGATAATATCATATTACTTAAAACTACTTAAAAACTAGAGGATGGACATTCTTTTTATGACTGCGGGAGCGGTATTGCGAAAAATTCATTTAAATCATAACATACATGATGGTGCAATAAATCCTTCAGTGAGTGTTTGAATTTTCTTATTGATAGTTCCTTCATGTAAGGGGGCAAATGGTTATAAATTTTTATTCCCGTGTACAGGGGTCCATTACGAGTTTTTTCATACCTGTAGTTGGGCAATTTTATTTTATGGGTTCTTGTCATGTACTGATGACGATGATCTGAATGTTGAAGAACATCACGTTTTTTATGGATCAGAAGGGCAAGTTTGAATATGAATGTGTTTGTCAAAGTAAATATCTTATTTTCAAGGAAACACTCTCTACAAGATTCTCGATAGTTCAATTTGAACAAAGTACGGATGGCTCGTTTTTGAATTATAAACGTGGTTTGGGGAACCTACAGAATTACCCCAGAATTCTATTCCGTATTGCATCAGGCTGTGAAAATATGCGAAATATACCATTTTCGAGACTTGAAAGTTTGTGTTCGCTTGGACAGTTCGCAATGCAAAAGTTGCTCTGTAGTTACTAGTTACTAGTTCAGACCCATAAAGAAAGAATTTGATGTCAGATTAAGTGCAAAA